CGTTATTTTTGTCTGGATCCCGATCTTCGTTCACGGCTTTCTGAATCGTATCAACATCCATATTCTGAATTACAGCGGTAATTTTCCTCCTTCTCAAAGCAAATAATGAACAGGATCTCCTCAGCAGCTGTTCTCCTTGATTTCCAAAGGCAGACTGACAACCTTCTAAATTTGAGGCCACGCGACGTCAGTTATATAATCTTAAACGTCAGCTTTCGCTTCATAAGATATAGATTAGTCACGTTGCCCGACATGGGTGAACAATAGTCGCGACCATAGCGGAGTTAACTGCGAAGCATTAGGAATGGTAGACTATCGCTGCGCCTGTAACTGCCACAATACTTCCACACATTTCATATATATGCTAAGATTTCTTCAATTGCTAGCCACACAATAACAGTAGGGAGGGCTCGGAGAAACCAAAATTGCTAGGATATCTAAAGCACTTTGATAGCAAGTGGAGGCTCCAGCCTCTTATTCTATCAATATCTGAGTAACAAAAACCAAGATATCAACCGCCGAGATCAGATCCACCGCAGTCCTGCCCTACATATGTCAAAGGCCTCTCCAAACAACTTCGCCGCTGCCTACAACAACAAGGCATGCGCGCTGTTTTGAAATCAGAGACTACGCAATGATCATAACAAGTACGTCTGAAGGATGCCGTCGACCCGGATTAACAGGATAGCGTGGTCCACAGGATTTCTTGTGAGTGCGGGAAGGTTAACACTGGTGAAACTAGTAGACCCATGCAGAAGAGAATCAAGGAGCGCCACAGGGATATCTCACTCGCTGAGACGCAGACCTCCATCGTTTCAGAGCACGTCCACAACAGCGGACACCGCCAGCTCTGGAACGAAGTAAGGTTTATTGATCATGTTCCCCATTACTACACACGCATGGTCAAAGAAGCAATTCATATTAGACTTCACCCTAACATCATCAACAAGGACAGTGGTATAGAAATCCAAGAAGCCTGGATGACGATGATCAAGTAACACAACTGCGGTAGCCGACCGCAGAGGGAAACTGATCCGAGGACACACCAATCACTCCCGCGAAATTCCATCAAATCACAGATGAGCTCAACAGCATCGATCGACCTCAACGCCTGAAGGAGACTAGCAGTCAGACGAAACGTCATGATCCTCTTCCGAACCGACCACATCGTGAGACAAAAGATTATATTTCTCTTTTGGTAGTGTTATTTGCCACGATTACAAACGACTGGACATCTTTTTTGCTCCACGTTAGATTTACTTATAGGTGCGGGATTTCTAAGATATACGCACAAACGCGCAAAGTAAAAAGCGGAGAGAAAGATCTAGAGTGAAACAGGGCAAGTACCAGATGTAGTCGAGGCAGAGATAACTATGTACAGTATTGTTTTGGCGAGGATGATACCACTTGTCGTTTGGAATTTGTCATTACCTCGCTTGGTACTAAGTTGAACGTCATTTTGGTAAATGTTTCTCGCTGACAAGGTTGGGAAGGTAACCGGAAGGTTATTCCGGCACATTGGGATTAAAAGAGTATAATCTTGCATGATTGTAAGGGAAAACTGAACCAAGTGGGTGCTCAATAACGCGCAAGGTGCCAGTTCTCAAGCTACGGTCTGAGGTTACAGTTTAATACAATCCTAAAACGATACACGTCTTGAATATTCGTGCGATTGATGTTTATATTGACATTGGAGTGGATCTTCCCATATGACTCAAACAACGGATCTAAAAGACACTTAACACCTAAGTGCCAGATTTTACGAAAAAGTTCCAATAGAAGTAAGCAGCAGCGGAAAAATGGAGTCACTAGCCAAATTGTGAAGAAGGTCAGGGTTCCAAGGGTTAAATCATAGACGAACGACAGAAAACCGGGAAAACAATGGTCACTACTTGTCACAAGATGAAGACAGTTCCTTTGTAAATGGCGCTGGTAAACTGGTGAATGCAGCGAGGGCTGTGAACTGCTCTTGGCTCGCAGATCACATCTGCTACTACAAAATAGTACTGATAATAGGTACGATAGACGAGTCGTAATACGAGTGATTTACCAATTTTTTTAATGTTCTTGCAAGACTCCAAGAGTGTTTATCACCTTGTACATATCACTGAAGAAAGGGGTCCTATACTGCTTTCATGAAATAACTTCAAGTGGGTTTCAGTAGATAAAACCCGAAACTTATTGTTTTTGTTGCTGACTCTAAGAAGATCTGTCAAAAGGTGCGAGGAACCAATTGAAGTGCTCGATAGAAAATGATCAACCAGCGGGGAACGACAATGATTTTGAAGATCTACGCACAAACGACAAAGTGGAAAGCCACGAGAAAGAACTAGAGGCAAATGGACAAGTATCGGACATACTCGAGAGAGAGATGGTACTAAATGAAAAGAAATAGTAAATGTTTAATGAAGGCCAAAAAACTGTAATATCATGCTGAACAGTAACTTAGTTGGGACGAGAATAACGCAAATTTATATTCCATAGGGGGCTTTTTTTCAAGTTTAGATATGACATAATACTGTGATAACCATCAAGTGACCGTCGAACGATGAGTAACTCTCAGGCAGTTAATTAAGGCTGTAGTTTTGCATAATACGAAAACGATATGTAGCTACACATGTTGGATAGCTCTGGCATTAAAGTTTATGTTGATATTGGCGAAGATCTTGCCGCAAGACTCGTACAGGGGATCGTAGAAGCATCTAACAATAAATTGCCAGATTTTACCATACAATCCCAATGGGATCAACCAGAAGCGGACAAAAGGAGTTGCCACCCAAATCATCATGAAGCTCAGGGCTCCGCAGGTTAAGCCATAGACAAAGGACAGAAGGCCGCCGAATACAATGGTCAGTACCCAGTAAGTGCCAAAGATAGTGCCATCATAAATAGTTTTGGTAAACTGGTGAATGCACTTAGGGCTACGAACTGCTGTTGGCTCGCAGATCACATCTGTATAAGCCACCTACAAGAAAAAAAAGTGTGTTTTAACAAAACTTTTCTTCACCGCGACTCTCGAGTCTCATTTTTAATCATAACAGAACCAAAGTAAAGCGCGCGCTTTGATTAGCCAACATTCAGTGTCAACCATTTGCCCATGGGTGTACATTGCTGACGTGAGCAAATGCAATGACCAGTTTCCGCGCACTTGTTTTTTCTGGTCACGTAAGATTTTTTCAATAAAAGGAAGCTCTTTAGTTGCAATGTATCAATGTTATGTTTTAAAACAAATGGTAAACACCACAGCGTATACTACTGAAATACGGAGGAGGTTGTTAAGCACGATAGAAGCGTAAGAGTCGCGCGAGGCGATGGCCGAGAGCGACTCTGAGCTTAGCAACCTACCGCGTGCATCCATAACTCAATAGTGTACACTGTGGTGTTTACCTTTTATCAAAGGAAAAACCACAATTTAGGTGTTCACCATTTGTAGCAAGGCTTCTTGCAAAGTAAAGCGATTAAATTGTTTATGATATATTTATGTGGCACTACCTAGCAAAGAGAGATCGTTGCGAGGGGTGTAAAAGACACTGACACGAACAAAAAATAAACATTACTAGCAAGAGAAAATAAACCCATTACTTTCTCTTGATTGGTAAGCTATACAATGATAATTTTGGTAAACAATTCTAAAAGGCGAACAGATATTTTCTTTAGTTTGGGATATAGAATAGTAATATACGCGAAATGATTATTTTTTGATTATTCGTTAATAGCAAATTTCATGACTGGGGTCGCGATATCGCACTCGTAAGGTATGATGGTTTTAAGATGTCATAACTGTAAAATAACGGTTTATAGCGAATAAGCTCATTTACCTGCATGTGTTTACTGAACCAAATTTTGAAATGAGACGTGCGATTTTTAATAGGACCTTCATTTAGGTAAATTACGATATAGTAAGCTGTGTGTGTCATATTTCATAACTGAAGTCGCTGGATCGAAGTACCGAATGATGAACCAAATGTTGAAATAAGATGTACGATTTTTTAAATATGACTTGATTTAGGTAAATTGCAATATGGTAAGCTGTATATGAGAAAGTGCCGATGCAAGCAACATAGTGAGCCAAGAAAATGGCAAGCGTACTTTCTATGTAGATAGCTCGAGTTCGATTTTTAAATACACTCATGAAATGCTAGATTGCTGTGTTTAATTCGTTTGGTTGGGTCTGACTTATAGTCCTCAATTCTAATAGCGTGCGAAATGCGAAATTTCCTCGGCAAGCAGTAAATATGGAACACCGTTAAGGATTGTCAGCTCAGGTTGTTTAGTGCCGGACTGTCGTGGGGAGGTCAAAGGGCAAACCCAGACCGGACCAAAACTCAGGATATCGAAAAACTTGCATGAGGAGAATGTGCTGCCTTTGTTATGAAATGGCTGCAAATGGGTAGACATTTTAGTCTCCTCGGATAAGGACGATAAATCTTAGGCCCCATGTTCTGCATCTTCCCTGTATTGGCTAGCAGGGGACGTTAGAGAACCCACGCACTTGTCGCTAATAGTAGATAACACAGCTCTCAGTGTTATGGTGAAAATATCATTCAAAATATTGTAAACTGCACAAGACAAGCTTACCAAAGTACCCCACAAAGTCTTGTAAATTAACGTAGAATATCCTCATACTCTACTCATGCAGTATGTAAGAAAAATGCAGTAAGCATGGTTCCTTGGCGAGGGGGCATTGGGGTCTTTTAGAAACCGCGAAACCGGAGAAAAAAATCATCCAAAACCGAAAAACCGCAAAAAGATTCGAACAAAACCGAAAACTACGTGTAAAACCAGCGTAACCGATAAATTTTCACCTCCAATTTATCAAAACTCTAATCGATCCAATTAGATTTTGCTTCTGGTCCGTCTTTGGCAAAATCATGCAAAATAACAGCGTCGACTTCATGATTAATCATAATCAACTTTCAAGCCTGATTTGAGTATTACCTTTGCACCTACAGAAATCTATCCGTGCTGCGCTCAATTCTGAACTCACTCACAGAGTTGACAACGGTTCCCACGGTAGGTTAGTAAAATGGCTCATCTTCGAGAACTTTGGGGAGGACAGAACTGTGTCACCAAATATCGTTACATGACCCGAAAGCAGAAGCGGGTCAATGACTGATCTTATTCCAAACACGGTTTCAATATTGCCTGCATAGTGCCACAGAAATCCCCGATTCAAAAGTGCAACGGGCTACCTTGAACGACTTCATAATATGGAGTTAATAGTAAATTGCATCTTGAAGAATGTTACAATTAAGCAGTGATAGTAACTGTAGACTTGGGCTGTTCCACGTTATATATTTTCCTTTGACCCCACGATATCTTCCCACGAGTTACCACTTTTACTGGGAAAAAAAACTCAGACAAAAACTTCAATTTTCAAACCACAAACACAAATAAGTTTTCACCTTCAAGAAAAGTCGGCTTGATTAAAATAGCGGCTGAGATTTTAAACTAGTTGTGGATGCTTTTCGTGCATTTCAAAATGGCTGATTGCTAATGGATTAAAGTATCGCAATAGAATTAGTTCTTTTAAATCTCTTACCTTCAAATAAGCGTTATTATTCTCTGGATCCCTGTCTTCAGTGACGTTTAGTAGCGTTTCGCCCTCCATTCCTCCTGTTTGGGGTGTGATCTGTCCTTTCATCAAATCTTCGCTGAACAATTAGGTGTAGTCCAAAGCTCTGACAGGTACGAAATTGAAACACATAGATGGTAACGCAATCCTCTACTTGAGTATTTTTTAATACAGTAAATTAGCACCTTAAAGACCATTTTCTGACAACCATTTGTAAACGCACTTCCTGATATCCCTTTGGAGAATTCATTAATTTCCGTTTAATTATGATTCTTCTATAATTTTCGTAGTCTTCCACCCAAGGGGGATATTAAACAAGCCGTTACGTTGATCGGCGTTTGCCGCCTTAGATACCGATTACATACCGATGCGGAATCAAATATGTCAGCGATGTTTTTTACTAATCCAAATAATCTAACCTTAAAAAAGAGTGATCTCTGATGATCAAGTGCTAAGTGCTCTCTTCAGATTACGAACTTCATTAATAAATGTTGCGGGGAGGAGCTGTTTTCGAAACAGCAGAGTTTCGAATTCAATGAACCTGCAGAGTTTCGAAACTACTTACAAATTCTATCACTTTATCGATTTTAATCCTCTTGCTTTTCTCTGACTTAAATTATTTCCAGAAAATTGTTTTAAAAAAAATTGCATTTTATTAAAAAAGGATACGTTACAATTAGATAATAGAACCGCTCTATTTGCAAACTGCGCTTCTTGAATTTCTCAGAAAGTGTTAGCATTTTACCTCCGCTGACCAACAAGTCCGAAGAATGAGACAAATGATGACGGACGAAGTGTAATAGATAATCTTTTAAAACTTTGCTAATATCGCTTGTGAAGTTCTTCGATTCGATCATGGGCGCTGAAGAAAGCAAAGAAAGTGTACCTCGAAACAACAACACAATGCCTAACCTTGTGCAAATATTCGATTCGATCATGGGCGCACAACCCCAACACAACGCGTAACCGTCAAAGCTCATGTCGTCCATCGGTGACCGAGTTCTCAAAAAAACCCTGCAGGATATCCTGGATTCATCTTAGTCCTAGTCCTTTCCACAGGAAAGATGGAAGTTATGACAAGACAAGAAACGCGCGCCAAAGCAGCACAGATTAAAATCATTTCTGATAACAGTGACTCAGTCAACTCGAGCTTCTTTCAGTTTTTTTCTAATAGCGACGACGACAACAATAATAATAATAATAAAAGTCTTTATTAAGCATTCTAAACAACAAACGTGTTTAGTTACAATGATATGAACTCAGCAAGTATAAAACTAATGAACTAACTAAATTACTAACTGACTAACTAATAAGAGAACAAACATCTATTAACAAAAGTCCTCTTGAAACGTTCAGTTCTGACAAGCGGGAGAATATAATTATGGCGCCTCTTACGTAGCGTAACCATTGGTCGCTCAGGTGGCAAAAGGTCATCTAAAGCTGTTGTAAAATCGCTGTCGGTGATCTTGGCCCACAACTTCTTATCTTTTAGAATAATAATATTTTCAATCGAAAAAAGCTCTTTACAGTAGCCAAGCTTAAAAGCTCTCTTGAACAGCCTGTCTATGCGACTCAGATACTTATGATAATACGCGCAGCCCCATACTTCTACAGCATATGTAAATATAGGTAGAATAAGACTGATAAAAAGAAGATGAAGATGATCCAGCGGCAGTCCATAGAATTTACAAACACGTAAGATGTACAGACGACTACTGGCTTTCGATATAATATTATCAAAATGTAAATCCCAGTTACACGGATCAGATTGAAAAGTCACACCCAACAACTTCAGACATGGTTTACGCTCTATAGAAACCAGAGGAGCAGGTAAGGCCATAGTGGATTTACCTCTAAGAAGCATCTCCCACGTTTTCTTGAAATTTAGTTGCATACGGTTAGCAGATGTCCATGCGACGATCGAT